TTTCCCCTAAAAAAAAAAAAAAATAAATAAATATATATATATAAATAAAACACTTTAGTACAGAATGTGATGAAATTAGAAGGAAGCCGAGTTCCCGGGTCTGTACACTCTGTGCTCATTATGAGGGGTTCCCACCATCCCTGTGCCCATTATGAGGGGTTCCCACCATCCCTGTGCCCATTATGAGGGGTTCCCACCATCCCTGTGCCCATTATGAGGGGTTCCCACCATCCCTGTGCTGAGTTCCCGGTCTGTACACTCTGTGCCCATTATGAGGGGTTCCCACCATCCCTGTGCTGAGTTCCCGGTCTGTACACTCTGTGCCCATTATGAGGGGTTCCCACCATCCCTGTGCTGAATTCCCGGTCTGTACACCCGCTGTGCCCATTATGAGGGGTTCCCACCATCCCTGTGCTGAGTTCCCGGTCTGTACTCTCTGTGCCCATTATGAGGGTTCCCACCATCCCTGTGCTGAGTTCCCGGTCTGTACTCTCTGTGCCCATTATGAGGGGTTCCCACCATCCCTGTGCTGAGTTCCCGGGTCTGTACACTCTGTGCTGATTATGAGGGGTTCCCACCATCCCTGTGCTGAGTTCCCGGGTCTGTACACTCTGTGTCCATTATGAGGGGTTCCCACCATCCCTGTGCCGAGTTCCCGGGTCTGTACGCCTGCTGTGCCCATTATGAGGGGTTCCCACCATCCCTGTGCTGAGTTCCCGGTCTGTACTCTCTGTGCCCATTATGAGGGGTTCCCACCATCCCTGTGCTGAGTTCCCGGGTCTGTACTCTCTGTGCCCATTATGAGGGGTTCCCACCATCCCTGTGCTGAGTTCCCGGGTCTGTACACTCTGTGCTCATTATGAGGGGTTCCCACCATCCCTGTGCTGAGTTCCCGGTCTGTACACTCTCTGTGCCCATTATGAGGGGTTCCCACCATCCCTGTGCTGAGTTCCCGGGTCTGTACACTCTGTGCTCATTATGAGGGGTTCCCACCATCCCTGTGCTGAGTTCCCGGGTCTGTACACTCTGTGCCCATTATGAGGGGTTCCCACCATCCCTGTGCTGAGTTCCCGGTCTGTACACTCTCTGTGCCCAGTATGAGGGGTTCCCACCATCCCTGTGCTGAGTTCCCGGGTCTGTACACTCTCTGTGCCCATTATGAGGGGTTCCCACCATCCCTGTGCTGAGTTCCCGGGTCCGTACACTCTCTGTGCTCATTATGAGGGGTTCCCAACATCCCTGTGCTGAGTTCCCGGGTCTGTACCCCCGCTGTGCTCATTATGAGGGGTTCCCACCATCCCTGTACTGAGTTCCCGGGTCTGTACACTCTGTGCCCATTATGAGGGGTTCCCACCATCCCTGTGCTGAGTTCCCGGTCTGTACACTCTCTGTGCCCATTATGAGGGGTTCCCACCATCCCTGTGCTGAGTTCCCGGTCTGTACACTCTCTGTGCCCATTATGAGGGGTTCCCACCATCCCTGTGCTGAGTTCCCGGGTCTGTAAAGCAACCTTTGGGACCATTTTAATCCCCTCGCAGCCTTGAAATCCGTCTTCATTCTCCGTCCCCATTGGTCCAATATCAGATTTGTCTTTTATTTCGGAATGAATGGGCCCCGGTGCAGTTCCTCATAAGGCCTGGTAGGTGGCAGTGTAGATTATGGCTTGCAGGCAGCTCAGCATTTTTTAAATTGATTTTAGCAGCTCCATAAAAACGTTATTTTCTCCTTTTTGGACGGAGCGGGTGGAGGAATCCCACGTGGCGGAGATCCTGAGCCTTCCAGGTTCCGTCAGAGACATGCCCAGTGATCTGTATACACATCAGACCTCACCAACCAGATCACAGGAGAGGAAAAGATTTGCCTTAAAGGGTCACTCCACCCCAAAGTTATATTGTTGTTATAGGTGGGGCCTGGCGGGCTCCTGACTGTATGGAGTGTGCAGATTGTAACATATACGTTTGTATCAACTTCTCACACGTATTACTTTTTTTTTTTTATCTATCTAAAGACTACCCACATGGAAGAAAAATATATTTGAAATGCTACAATTTTGGCCGTATTCAATATATTTCAAAATATACTTCAATATATATATATATAGTTGTCACCATCAGGAAAAACGCCCCCTGCTGGAGTGCATGTACACAGGAAGTGGCTGCAAAGAGGCTGCAGGGAGATCAGCAGCGCAAAGGATGCCAAAAAAAGGCTAAGCCAAGATTTTACTTTACAGACGGTAGTCATGCTGATGTACAGTGCAGACAGAGAATGTTACCCAGTCAGGGATTTACATATTGATGTGACATTCACCAAACATTCACCAGCGGTGAATCAGTCGACACATGCACCTGGAAAGACTGATCAGCAGCGAATGTTTGGTGAATGTCACATTCACTGCTTTATGCGTACACCCCCATGAGTAAGAGGATACAAAGCCAGCAGATGGTGAGAAGGAACCAGGGGCGGACTGACAACTCATGGGGCCCCCGGGCAATAGGGGATCATGGGGCCCCCGGGTAATAGGGGATCATGGGGCCCCTGTGTCCTTGCCCACACTCAAAAAAAAAAAAAAAAAAAAAGCCTATGAAAAAGGTACCAGGGCATCTCATGGGGCCCCCGGGCAATAGGGGATCATGGGGGCCCTGTGTCCTTGCCCACACTCAAAAAAGCCTATGAAAAAGGTACCAGGGCATCTCATGGGGCCCCCGGGCAATAGGGGATCATGGGGCCCCTGTGTCCTTGCCCACACTCAAAAAAGCCTATGAAAAAGGTACCAGGGCATCTCATGGGGCCCCCGGGCAATAGGGGATCATGGGGCCCCTGTGTCCTTGCCCAAACTCAAAAAAGCCTATGAAAAAGGTACCAGGGCATCTCATGGGGCCCCCAGGCAATAGGGGATCATGGGGCCCCTGTGTCCTTGCCCACACTCAAAAAAGCCTATGAAAAAGGTACCAGGGCATCTCATGGGGCCCCCGGGCAATAGGGGATCATGGGGCCCCTGTGTCCTTGCCCACACTCAAAAAAGTCTATGAAAAAGGTACCAGGGCATCTCATGGGGCCCCCAGGCAATAGGGGATCATGGGGCCCCTGTGTCCTTGCCCACACTCAAAAAAGCCTATGAAAAAGGTACCAGGGCATCTCATGGGGCCCCCGGGCAATAGGGGATCATGCGGCCCCTGTGTCCTTGCCCAAACTCAAAAAAGCCTATGAAAAAGGTACCAGGGCATCTCATGGGGCCCCCAGGCAATAGGGGATCATGGGGCCCCTGTGTCCTTGCCCAAACTCAAAAAAGCCTATGAAAAAGGTACCAGGGCATCTCATGGGGCCCCCAGGCAATAGGGGATCATGGGGCCCCTGTGTCCTTGCCCACACTCAAAAAAGCCTATGAAAAAGGTACCAGGGCATCTCATGGGGCCCCCGGGCAATAGGGGATCATGGGGCCCCTGTGTCCTTGCCCAAACTCAAAAAAGCCTATAAAAAAGGTACCAGGGCATCTCATGGGGCCCCCTACTGACCCCGGGCCCTCGGGCAGTGCCGAGTTTCCAAATGGTCAGTCCGCCCCTGGAAGGAATTCTTCACTGGAGGACTTCTGGGCTTCATTTAGAGGGCGGTAAAAATGTGCGGTTGAGCTGCGTTTTTGCTGCCCACCCCCCCCCCCCCCCCCTTAAGCTGCAGTAGGTAGCTGATGGGGGTGTTTAATTCCGCATTTGCAATGCTTCGCTCTGTGTCTGCAGCAAAGTCAACCCAACATGTAGCAATTGGTGGGCAGCAGGCCGCTGAGGACGACACATTCAGGCAGATGCGTAGGTTCCACAAAGATTGGGTTAAAGCGGGGTGAGGAGGAGTCACGCTGCTTCCTCGATGCCTCTGAAGTGCGACCCGAAAGCGGATCATGACTCACAGCAAAGACGCACATTTCTATCTACGCCTAATGCTAGAGATGAGATCATTTTACAGCTTTTGTTCCTCCGAAATCTTGGAGAAAAATTGGGAAGTTTTGACACAAATGTTGCCATTTGGAGTTGCATTGGAGTTAAGGGGAAGGAAAAATGAGCCCCACCCCCCACCCCAGCATTCCTATAAACACTTCGGGAAGGATCGGCGATCATGTGACCACCGCCACAGTGATCACATGATTATTATACAGGATTTATATAGCGGCAGAAGGTGTGCTCAGCGCTGTACATTACAGAGGGGGACAGAACATGAGACAATACAGAAACAATACAATACACGAGGGATTGAGGGCCCTGATCCTTGGAGCTTACAATCTAGGAGGGAGGGGATAGTGGTACAGGAGGAAGTGGCTGTGGGGGATGGAGTGGTGAGAGGAGTGGAGGAGATCGGCTGTTAGGTGAGGTTGGGGAAGGCTTCCCTGAAGAGGTGGGTTTTCAGGGTGCGCCTAAAGGTGAGTAGGGTAGGTGACAGTCTGATGGATTGGGGTAGGGAGTTCCAGAGGATGGGGGAAGTCCTGGAGAAGTCCTGCAGTCGGGTGTGAGAGGTGGAGACCAGGGAGCTAGAAAGTAGGAGGTCTTGTGAGGAGCGAAGATTACGGGTTGGGTGGTATTTGGGTATCAGGTCGGTGAGGTAGTTTGGGGCGGAGTTATGAATGGCTTTGTATGTCAGTGTTAGAAGTTTGAATTTAATGCGTTGGGCAGTCGGGAGCCAGTGGAGGGAATGACAGAGGGGGGTGGAGGACACTGAGTGGAGGCCAGTGGAGGGAATGACAGAGGGGGGAGGAGGACACTGAGTAGAGGCCAGCGGAGGGATTGGCAGAGGGGGGTGGAGGACACTGAGTGGAGGCCAGTGGAGGGAATGACAGAGGGGGGTGGAGGACACTGAATGGAGGCCAGTGGAGGGATTGGCAGAGGGGGGGGTGGAGGACACTGAGTGGAGGCCAGTGGAGGGAATGACAGAGAGGGGTGGAGGACACTGAGTGGAGGCCAGTGGAGGGATTGGCAGGGGGGGTGGAGGACACTGAGTGGAGGCCAGTGGAGGGAATGACAGGGGGGTGGAGGACACTGAATGGAGGCCAGTGGAGGGAATGACAGAGAGGGGTGGAGGACACTGAGTGGAGGCCAGTGGAGGGATTGGCAGGGGGGGTGGAGGACACTGAGTGGAGGCCAGTGGAGGGAATGACAGAGGGGGGTGGAGGACACTGAATGGAGGCCAGTGGAGGGATTGGCAGGGGGGGTGGAGGACACTGAGTGGAGGCCAGTGGAGGGAATGACAGAGGGGGGTGGAGGACACTGAATGGAGGCCAGTGGAGGGATTGGCAGGGGGGGTGGAGGACACTGAGTGGAGGCCAGTGGAGGGAATGACAGAGGGGAGTGGAGGTCAGTGGAGGGAATGACAGAGGGGGGTGGAGGTCAGTGGAGGGAATGACAGAGGGGGATGGAGGTCAGTGGAGGGAATGACAGATGGGGGGGCGGAAGAGGAGCGGTTGGTGAGGTGGATGAGTCTGGCCGCTGAGTTCAGGATAGACTGAAGCGGGGGATAGCCTGTGATGAGGTAGGCCGGTGAGGAGGGAGTTGCAGTAGTTCAGACATGAGATAATAAGGGAGTATACGAGTTGTTTAGTGGTGTCTGGGGTGAGGAACGTATTTTGGAGATGTTGCGGAGGTGGAGCCTGCATGAGTTTGCCAGCACTTGGACTTGGGGCTGGAAGGACAGATTGGAGTCTAGAGTGACACCTAGGACTTTGGCTTGCGGGGTGGGACTGATGGTGGCATTATTGGTTGTGATGGAGAGGGTGGGGGAGGGGGGGCGCGGGCTGGGGGGAAGACCAGGAGCTCGGTTTTGGAAAGGTTCAATTTGAGGAAATGGAGCGACATCCAGTCTGATATGTCGTTCAGTAGGTGGGTGATACGGGCGGAGACATGATTGGAGGTTGGTCTCGCGACCGACTAACTATGTTTGGACCAAGAGCTGTCTTTGACAGAGGTGAAACGCATCAGTGAGCGTGGCTTCATGTGTGGGAAGGATCGGCAATCATGTGACCACTGCCACAGTGATCACATGTATGGAAGCCGGTCCAAGCGGCTGCCAACCTTTGGGTCAAGAGCTGTCTTTGACAGAGGCTGGTAAAACCCCGCGGTTGAGCCACATTTTACCACCCCTTAACCACTCCCCCTTTTAGCTGGAATGGCGGTAGCTGGGGGGTGTACACATGCTGTGGCTGCAGGAATTGTTCTTGGTGGACACTATCACCCTCCGAACGCAACCCATTCAAGTGATTGGGGGTCACGCTGCAACCACCCTCCAATTGCATGGGTAGTCTGGCATTTAGGGGGTTAAAACAGGTGGTGAGGAGGTGATACCACGCCTCCTCAACGCCTGTCAAATGCTCTCTGAAGAGCGATCCGAAAATAGATCGCTCTTTAGCGGGCAACACTAATGTAAACGAGGTCCTAGGGTGCTCTTCAAAATGAATGGAACCACAACGCAGGATAGCGACTCCAAGAGGTAAATGGCCACTTAAGAAGGCAGTACATAAGTAAGGATCAAAAAAGAAACAATTAATAGAAAAAGAACTTAATGATATAAACTACCCCCCCCCTAAAAAAATAAAATACCCCCCAAAAAAATAAATACCCCCCCAAAATAAAAAATAAATAAGCCTTCCCCCAAAAATGAAAAAACAATATAACTCCTACCCCCCAAAAAAACTAAAATACCCCCCAAAGAATAAAAGCCGAAAATAACCCCCCTACAAAAAAAACGAAATACCCCAAAAATAAAAAAAACTAAGCCTTCCCCCCAAAAATTAAAAAAACAAAATAACTCCTACCCCCCCCCCAAAAAACTAAAAAACTAAAATACCCCCCAAAGAATAAAAACCAAAATAACCCCCCTAAATAAAAACTAAATACCCCACCAAAAATAAAAAATTAAATAAGACTTCCCCCCCCAAAAATAAAAAAAAACTAAATACCCCCCAAAAAAACGAAATAAGCCTCCCCCCAAAATAAAAAACTAAATAACCCCCACCCCCCCAAAAAAATAAAAAAATAAAATACCCCCCCAAAAAAAAAAAAATTAAAAACGAAATAACCCTTCCCTCAAAAATAGAGAACTAAATACCCCCCAAAATAAAAAAACTAAATACCCCTCAACAAAAAAACCTAAATAACCCTTCCCCCAAAACAAAAAAAAAAACCTAAATAACCCTTCCCCCAAAACTAAAAAAAAAAACCTAAATAACCCTTCCCCCCCCCAAAAAAAACAACTAAATAACCCTTATCCCGAAAAAAAAAACCCTCCTCCCAAAAAATAAAAAAACCCCACCCAAAAATAAATAAATACCCCCCCCCCCCAAAAAAAAAACCACTTATAAACTAAAATACCCCCAGCCCAAAAAATAAAAAAACAAAATAACCCTTCCCCCAAAATAAAGAACTAAATACCCCCCCCCCAAAAAAAAAAAAATTAAACACTACATAACCCTTTCCCCCAAAATAAAAAAACTAAATAACCCCCAAAACAAAAAAACCTAAATAACCCTTACCCCGAAAATAAGAAAAAATCCTCCTCCTTCCCAAAAAAACACCCAAAAATAACATAAATAAATAAATACCCCCCCCCAAAAAGAATAAAATAATCCTCCCACCCCTCAAAAAACCCCTCTAAATATACAGAGTTAGGTTTGGATCCACAAGTCAGTGAGGGGCGGTGACCTCGGAGCCGGAGGTTGGGGTTCCTCCTGTCTTTCTGTTTCCATGCATGGGGCTGATTTGGGGGGAGGATCCTGAGATAACATCCAGCAGAGCAGCTCTTCTCTGTCCATTAAACTGACCTCATAAAAGTCATTTGTTTGCCGAGTTCTTACACTTGTAGCCTCGTAATCTGCACATGAATGAGCCCATTTCCCTCCTTACCTGCCACTCAGCAGTCCTTAGAGGCCTCACATCCATAAACAGAGCTGAGAAGAGGCTGCTTTATGGCCCCTGCAGTGAATTACACCTCCAGCCTCCATTGTGAAGCCTCTGTTTCCTGTCTGGTAGTTTATTTCCACCTCCATAAACTCTGCAAACTGTTTACCTTATTGTGTCTGCACCCAGAACTTCAAACAGTCCCATCACCTTGGGAGCTGGTCTAGGGGTCGGACTTCAAGGTCCATCCAAAACAGGGGCCACACCTCAGATCAGTCAATACACTTCCTGGGCTGAAAGAATGGGGCTCTGTGTCTGTATCGTTTGCATTAGAAATTGGGTTTTCCAGGTAGAGATAGGGAGTATTGTCCTGTTCATGGGGTCCCTAGATGTGACACTACATCCCCAACATGGCCAACCACTGACCATGACCATAATACTGTACAACCCCAACATGACCCCCCCACTGAACATGACCATAATACAACCCAACATGACCTACCACTGAACATGACCATAATACAACCCAACGTGACAAACCACTGGACATGACCATAATACAACCCAACATGACCTACCACTGAACATGACCATAATACAACCCAACATGACCCCCCACTGAACATGACCATAATACAACCCAACATGACCCCCCACTGAACATGACCATAATACAACCCAACATGACCTACCACTGAACATGGCCATAATACAACCCAACATGACCTACCACTGAACATGACCATAATACAACCCAACATGACGGAACACTGAACATGACCATAATACAACCCAACATGACCCCCCACTGAACATGACCATAATACAACCCAACATGACCTACCACTGAACATGACCATAATACAACCCAACATGACCTACCACTGAACATGACCATAATACAACCCAACATGGCAAACCACTGGACATGACCATAATACAACCCAACGTGGCAAACCACTGGACATGACCACAATACAACCCAACATGGCAAACCACTGGACATGACCACAATACAACCCAACATGGCAAACCACTGGACATGACCATAATACAACCCAACATGACCGAACACTAGACATGACCACAATACAAGCCAACATGACTCCACACTGGACACAACCATAATACAACCCCAACATGACCAACCACTGGACACGACCATAATACAACCCCTTCATGACCCACCACTGGACATGACCATAATACAAGCCAACATGACTCCACACTGGACACAACCATAATACAACCCCAACATGACCAACCACTGGACACGACCATAATACAACCCCTTCATGACCCACCACTGGACATGACCATAATACAAGCCAACATGACTCCACACTGGACATGACCATTATACAACCCAACATGGCAAACCACTGGACATGACCATAATACTGTACAACCCCAACTTGGTCCCACACTGGACATGACCATAATACAACCCAACATGACCCACCACTGGACACAACCTTAATACAACTCCAACATATCCAACCACTGGACATGACCATAATACAACCTCAGCATGACCAACTACTTGACATGATCATAATACAACCCTACATGACCTACCACTGGACATGACCATAATACAACCCCAACATGATCCACCACTGGACATGACCATAAAAGAACTCCAACATGACCAACCACTGGACACGACCTTAATACAACTCCAGCATGGCCAACCACTGGACACGACCTTAATACAACTCCAGCATGGCCAACCACTGGACATGACCATAATGCATCTCCAGCATGGCCAACCACTGGACACCATCATAATACAATTCTATTACACTCTAAACATAGAACACTACCCCCCCGATATCACATAGTCCTGATCCCTGCACCCTATATACTTTGTTATACTGTACATTATACACTCCTGACCTTGTATGTTATGTAGTTGTTTATTTAGGTAATTGTGTCCTCTACACTCCTCATGTTGTATCATACAACCCCGGTTCCAAAGTTGGGACAGGGCCATGTTTAGTACACTGCAGCATCTCCTCCTCTCTTACCAACACTGTGTAAAGGTCTGGGAACTGAGACCAGCCTATTGTTGTCCCATTCTCACCTGATTTAGGATTCTAACTGCTCAGCAGTCCCAGATCTTCTCTGTCATATTTTCCATATCACCATGCACCAGATATTTGGTGAAAGGTCTGGACTGCAGGCAGGCCAGTTAAGCACTCAGACTCTTCTACTACAAAGCCATGCTGTGGTCATAGATGCAGCATTGTCCTGCTGAAACATGCAAGGCCTTCCCCGAAAGAGACATCATGTGTATGGGAGCATCTGCTGCTCTTAAACCTGGATATATCTTTCAGCGCCTTTCCAGATGTACAAGCTGCCCGTTTCATATACACTAATGATCCCCCCCCCCCAGACCGTCAGATATGCCGGGTTTTGAATTGAGTCTCAATAACAAGCCGAAAGGTCCTTCTCCTCTTTAGTCCGGAGGAAAAAGAATGC